AGTTTATTATGACAATCACCATCCCTACTGTCACCATCATCATACCATCATCACTATCACCAGCATCCATCATCAGAATTACATTAAAAATGCCATCAACATCATACCTGACATCATTATCTATGTTATGGTCTATAGAGGCTTTGCATCATAACGTGATGCCAGCCATGACAGGGGCCACAATAATAGAGTCTGTTGCCACTTGGAGACTGATTTCTTTCTCATGCATATCAGACTTGACCAGATTCCATTATTCCTGCCTCCTGTCATGGCTTCCATCACATAATGGTGCAAAGTCTCTATTACATCTTTACCTCCAATACCAACCTCATGCAAGACTGACATGCATCATAATTTCACTAATTATACCATCATTTACTATTCTTAATACTTACTTTCCAATTTAGCAGAATTTACATGTCTTTTGGCATTTGGGCTTTATATAAGGGTTGTTACAGTAATTCGCCGCTTTGTATCTCAAACATAATTTCGTTGAGAACTTGTCGACGCACGCTAAAAAATAAATTTCAATAACTCAGRGACYTGATGTGCCACTCATATGCATAACATACTATCGAAACAAAAATAGCACACAACTTACTTGCGACTTGTCCTCCCGCTTTTTGTCATAAAAAGAAGAAGAAGAAGAAAAAAAAGAGTTAGCAAATTCTACAATTGCTAATAAATTTAATTTTATGATATTTTTATTATCTTCTTTAGTTTTGCAGGAGTCAAAGAACTCTGTAACTACTACGACGAAAAATGATGTTAAGTTTTTATTTGAATTGATCCTTCTTAAAATTATCTTAGATGTAAGGCTAACGTCAAAATCAAAAAAGAAATCACACCTTTTCTCGACAGAATTTGCATTTGAGGCATTTCTTTTGAATTTCTTGTTACATGTAGACACGCATTCAACATAAGTTTGAAAAGGAACGTTTTTAGAATGATTGGTGGTGTAACAAACAATAGTTAATCTTCTTTTTCTGTAAATACCGCTGCGTTTTATGACTAATTACTTCAGTTTCCAGTCGATGCAAACTGCTGGTTTTGAAGATCACAGGCTCATTTGCACAGGCTTAAACTCGCTTAAGAGTAAATCATTTGCAAATGTCAACTTTAATGTAAAGAATGTACAGCTTAAAAAGTAATAATGCCTTTTTGAAATCTCACGGACTTTTAATGGTATCTGTTAATAGCCGACTTATCAACGAGGCTAAGTCTGCAAATGAGCCTGTAATCTTCAAAACCAGCGGTTTGTATTGAATGTGAAACTGTTGTATTTAGACCATTTTCGAGCTCCAAATTACCGATGAGGGAGTTCCTTCGTTACAGACTCATTTACTCAGGGTTAGCCTCGAATCAGTGTCTAATTATTCACGGGTGAAAACGGTAAAGTAAAGAATTCACAGCTTCATTAATACACTTTTGAAATTCCTCGGACCTTCACTGAAACACATGAATTTTTTACACAAAATCGAGGCTACCCCTGAGCACCAGAGAATAGCAGATATCGGAGTTACACTCTATTGCCTTCAGACAATTGTTACATTTGGGTCAGYTTCTATACATTTCATTGTATTGACCCAAATGCCTCGACTTGAAACAATTGTTTGAAGGCAACAGAATGTAACTCTAATAATTTCCTATTCGAATCTGTAGCATTATATAATAAAATGTTTAAAATGTTTCAACTTACTTGAACAGGCATTGCAGGTATGGGGGCAGTAGATTTTGGTAGAGGAACTGAGTGTACAGTAGTGTTTGTAGTTCGGACAATCTGGGAGTCGATCTGCACAGGAAGCTGRTGAAGAAATTGAAGAAAAACATCAATAATCGTGGGAACGTAGTTGTAAAAGATATTATTATTGATTATTATCCAACTATTCAAATTA